ATTTTAGCAATAGAATCATAGAATAATAGAATGGTTTGGGTTGGAAAAGCCCTTAATATCATCTAGTTCCAAGCCACTGCCATGAACAGGGACACCTTACACTAGACCATGTCACCAAAGGCCCTGTCCAACCTGGCTTTGAACACTGCCAGGGATGGAGCATTCACCACTGCTTTGGGCAACCCGTGCCAGTGCCTCAGCACCCTCACAGTAAAGAACTTCTTCCTTATATCTTCTTTCTCTTTATTTTTGGTTATTTACAGCAAAGAGAAGGTGCTTGATAGGTATAGAAAATACCATGGAAAAATATGCCGGGGCTTGCATTTGTGTGACAAGATTTGTGAGGGCTGCTATTTGACTACAATTCATGTTTTAATCCAGAATGGCTGAACTACACAGCTATTAGCCTATAGCCATGTTCATCTCTCAAGATGACACAGCACCCATGCCAGGTGGACTTGAAATACCTCCCCTTCTCTTCCTGCACAGCCTCAGAGCATCCTCTGGGCTGCTTAAAGAAAAATAGCACCACATCTCCTAATGCTTTCCAGTGACAGGCAAATTGGAAATCTATGATGCTTTTATTATAGAATATTGTGTGGCTGGAAACCTGAAAATAGCTGCCTTGTTTTCTCCTGACTTTTACTCCTCTGCATGATTTACACCTATGCAAAGGGGTTTGCTGACAGGTCAGGATTAGAGCTCTTCTTTCACTCTGTTGTAAATGATTCCTTGATGTGCACAGTCAGGTCCTAAAGAAGAAGGGGGGAAAACTGCATTGTGATTTTCAGTTTGGAGCCAGAACAAGTAGCTGTAGTCTTTCTTTGGTGACTGTAGCTATAAAGATGCTTTAGGGCTTGGTGAAATAACCTTTTCTCCTAGCTCATCTTTCTGCTTTGTTTGCATCTGCAATAATTACTTATAGGTCAGAGATGCTCACTGGCTTTGTCATGCAGAAGCAGAGCCAGCAGCCTTAGAAGATGAGGTGTAGGGCTGTCTATGGGCAGTAAGTTATAGTGGTCTAATGAGGCGTATCCATCCTATAGATAAATGTTTGCTAATGCAAGTGTGGAAAACACCAGCCTGGATCATCCGTTTCTGGAAACATCCTTAACTTTGCTGTAGGAATGTCCTGGTTGTGTAAGAGACACCCAAAAGTGATGGGCTACTGCTGAAGGGGGGACATCTCTGCAGCACCTTTGGAGGTTCTCCTCTCTACAGATGCTGAAGGACCTCTGTTGGCTCTGCTGTGAAGCTAAGCACCTTGATGATGTGGAGAAAAGGGAATAGGAGGCTGAGGAGCTACATACTCCTTGCTACTCCATAACTGTCCCTGTAGCCAATGCATGAAGTTTTATATACACGTACTTCATCAGCTCTCACAGACATCAGCCCTTCACAAAATCCAGCTCTGAGATAGGGAAGAGATTGGTGTGAACAATTCCATTTGCATGCTTGATGCGCCTTACCTATTTATCCCTCCAACAGCAACGGAACGTGTGTAATGCAGGTACTGAAACTATTTCTGCTTAAGCCACAGGTCATGCAGCTCAGTGCTTTACTCATACTACAGTTTGTACCTATTTTTGTACAGGAAAGCTGCAGCTAGCATTGCAGCAGCTATGAAGGGGATGAGTACAGTTTAATTTATGCTGAGCCACATGGCTTAACTGTGGCCAAACCTACTTGACCATCAGGCTCTTAAATGCACAAAACTCCATTGCTATGCAGTTGCACTGTGCTGAAGGAGATACTGAATCTAATGACGTTTAAGCCGGTACAGTAAAGGCATTTTTGATCCGTACCTGAAAAAACTTATTATTGATACTAAATTAGGGATAAACAAAGTAAGCCACATCCTGTATTACAGATGCAAATGCTTTTTCCTGCTAGAAGTAGGAAACAAAGCTCTTTGGGATTATGGTGACTGGCAGCAGGCACAGGGAGACAGAGAGGAGCCTTTCCCTTGTCGGTCTTTGCCATAGCATTTGGGTTGTGATTATTTCGTGTTGACTTGGTCATTCATCAAGTGTCTCAAAGAAGCGGCACAAACAGTAGTTAAGCCCCTTCATTGCGTCCCTGCGGAGGAGGGAAGCAGCCGTCATCGCATCTGCCTCTTTGCTGTGCTCGCCTGAGAACTGGATAAATAAATTAGAGCTATGATGGCTCAGAAGAACAAACTCTAAGCAGCTGTGCGCTGGGGATTATGGATGCGATGGACCGTGTTTCCCTGGCAAAGAAAACACCCGCCATAGGAAACTCTTAGGCAGCAGCGTGGTACCTCTTGTATTATTTAGTGCGTTGTCTTTGCAGTCTCTGCGCATACAGCAGTGCACAGCAAGGGATGTTATTCTTCCTAGGAGATGCCCTTTTTGGTTGTACTCTTAGAATGCTCCTTTTCAGAGTAGTGCTGTAGTCTGTGTATTTTAGGTACTCGGTATCTCCACAGACTGAGTGTTTATTAAAGTGTGGAGGGCTTTTTCAGAACCAAATTATATTCATCAGAGACACCCCTTTAATTAACTTTCACACTTCCATGGAATGAGGAATATAAAGAAAGCCAATAATAACAATAATAATAACAATAATGATAATGATGATGAAATATCTTGTTACCATTACATATTAAAATACAGTGCTGTGGAGAGTGGAGTTTCAAGGCTGCTTTTTAATGAAGATCTTAATAGCATTTAATGTAAATTAAATATAATCACTGTCTGATTCCTGAGCATCTCTCTGAGGCTGAAGAAGTTAATTGTGCTGACAGCATAGCGGGAAGTGCCAAAAGCAGGCACCAGCATGTTGGTTAAAGTGCATTTTGAACTGAAGGCAGCACTTTTGTTCCTTGCACTCCTGCTCCCAGGTATTGTGCAGCATCTCAGTGCAGAGTTTGTGCACAGCATGGATTTATTGGGTAAGATAATCTCACATAAAACTTGCATTTGAATGCAAACAAAGGAGCCTTTATTGAACTTTGGAGATTGGGAAGGATCAGATGCATGAGATTAACAAACCATTTGACTTTGGGGATGGGGAATTGCTGGTCTGTGAATGCCTGACTTGTTCTGTGGGCAGATGATTTAATGAGGTCTGCAAAGTGACTGGACGTCAACTCCAGTGTCTTGCATTTCATGAAGAGAATTAGTTGTGGATGTCTCTGTTTTGAAACTGCTGCTTATGGAATTCATGCACTTGGTGGCAAGATTCAGTTGGATTAAAGATTAGAGATCAGGCTAACTCCTCAAGGCAGGTGATGTGACAGCATTCAGATCCCAGCTCCCATTCATGTGATGACAATATGGAATATCTGTGGTAGGTACAACCTCTTCAACCTCAAATTAGAAGTGATGTAATTAGTCAGCTGGTGCAGTGGGTCCTGGGATCATAAATAAATGAAATGCATTTTGATGGATGAACACAGAAATGGTATCTTAATTTAACTTAGGCAGAGCTGAGAATAACTAGTTATAGGATCCAGTCTCGTCTTCATATGAGATGATTTCTCTATATGGTGCCAAAGGAGTCCATGCCTCCTGTGTGTTTCTTCAACCCTTAGGATACATCTGAATTACTGTTCTACAGCTTAGAGATGTTATCTTCATGCTACACTAAGCTTTCACTTGTATACCTGATAGGTACAATGCATGAAATTAAGTGTATTTTCATCCTAGGCAGCTTTTCCATCTGAGCTGTCTGCACAGAGATCTCACTTAAGTGGAGAAAACCCTGCCAGAACTGGCTATGGAGGTGAATATTCCACTTTGTTGGTGCCTGTGTCCGTCTTCCCTGACTAGATGGAAATGACAGTCAGTGGAATGCTTGTTGAGGGGGTCTCAATGTATTTGTAGTTAAGGTTGTGCTTGGTAAAGACTATTTGGGGGCTGGCCTTGTTCCTCAAAGAAGATGCTAAAAAGGTTGACATTAGCATTGAAAGAGCTGGTGTTGATCAGTGCTGAAAGAGAAGCAGGAAGGAGCTGGAAAGCCAGGACAGGGCATGGATCTTCAGGACAGAGGGGCCATAAATAGTCATTTTAACACTTTTTAATCAAAGAAATCTGATTCACTCCACATCCCACCCGCCCTGATAAAGGAGCACTGACAAACGAGTCTTTGCAATACAACCATGGCTCAAATGTGGCCTCTGAGGGAGAAAAAGGTTGTTTTCCCCAGGTCTTACTTGAGTCTTTGCTTAGTTTTTGACCAAAGTATTTTGGAAAACCACCACTTTCTGACTAGAAGGATGTGAAGTGCTCCCTGGGGAAACTGAGAGGCTGAAAATGCCCTTTTGGCTTTATAAAGCTTGAGAACAACTGGATTGAGCTAATAAATATTTTTGGGTAGCATTTCTGTCTCTTCCCCCTACTTTGTATAGTCCATAAAAGCACAGCCAGCAAACAGTGCTTGCAAGAAATAATGGCAGTGGCATTTGGGGTGAAAGGAGAGGGATAAACATGACTGGAGAGGGGACTGGTTTGGCTCCCTGCCTGCCTGTTCCAGTGCTCATAAAGCAATACTTCACATTCGCAGTGCTTTCCTGGAGATACCATGTTATTAGCAGATAGATGATCATGGTAAGTAAATTTATCCTGCTCAATTTCTGTCTCATCAAATGCTGAGTGCAAGTTTTTCCTGAGCAAACCCTCAGGTAACTCCTCAGTCCCATCTCTTTTTGGTACTCAATGATATTAGTTGTGATGCCATCCATCTCTGATGTCTTTGTTACCTGCCCACCCTTCATTTTCACCTTATCATTCCCCATTGAATATTTAGCTGTTGTCTTTGTGGTTATCAGGGTAAGAACATTTTGGGCAGCTCCTTGTTGGTGTTTCCTACAGCCTTCTGGCTACCATTGCTGGTCCTGGGCTCCTATAGTCCCAGTGTGGCTCCATGTGCTGTGTGTTGTGTTGTCTCAATTGCTCTGCAGCGTGATACAGTTCTGTGAGTGTCTCATTATGCAATTAATCTCAATTGCATTTCCCATCATCTCTTCTCTCCTGCAGGCATGCAACCCAGCAGGAGACTAATAAAACCATCACGACTAGCACCAAAGCCATCAAGCAGCTGTCTGAGGTTGTCAGAGGCTCATCCAGGGTATGTGTCATTCAAGATGCTGTTGGGGGAGAATGTTGGGTCTTATGGAGGGAGGATTAATGAAGAAGGAGGTATTAGTGGGTGGTAGTGGGTGCTTTAAAGCTTAGCTCCACGTGTGTGGTTTAGTGTGTGGTGTCCCTGCTCATGGCAGGGGGTTGGAACTGGGTGATCTTAAGGTCCTTTCCAATCCAAACTATTCTATGATTCTATGTCATAACTTCCTTTTCTGTTACACAGAAAGCATATCTTGCATTTATAAATGACCAATGGGTAAACAGCTGCAGAAACTAGTTCTTCTCCCAAAACTGGGTTATGTGGAATGGGAAATAAAGAACTCAGTGACAAAGCCTTGACTAACTCCCATCCATCTCAGGGTCTCACTCAGTTTGGGTCAAAGTACTACAGAAATCATCTGGCTCAACATAAGCTTGTCAGTTGTGGAGTGAGTGCACTGGGTGCAGATGAGTTTGGTATTGTGTTGAAGTGTCCAGAAAGGCAGTGGAATATATCTGGATACAACATTTATTCAGTGCTGTCTGCTAGTGCAAAGGCAGCGATAGGCTTAAATAATTACAGGCTGTGACCAGATCAGAGCAGAACATTGGATTACAACTTGCCCTACTGCAACCTATACATACTGTACAGGCAGAATGGTCTTCTGCCATCAGTAGGTTCAACTCATATGAACATCATTGCCACTGGGGGTATGAGTGATCCCCATCCCATGGTCCCCAGTGCAATGACTGGACAAACAGAAGGCTTCTGACCTTCTGTATAAAGGTGTGTGTTCCTGCTGACTTTGTCCTGTGGTATGGATCACGGGGAAGAACAAAAATATACTTTGGGGCAAACTCCAGCTGGTGTGTGAGTTGAGAAGTTTCACCCTTATAGTGGGTTATTCAGCAACTGAAATGAGAACAAGGATAACTCTTTTCTACTTGATTTGGCCTAGCAGTTTTCTCTTAGGTTCTTGCTTCCAACATCTGTGTAGTTTCTGTGTTGGGAGTTGAATTGATGGTTAATCCTCACTTGCGTCCTGCTATTTCCCAAAGTCCTGTGTTACTTCAACTCCATTCTCATGCCCCTTCCACCTGGAAAGAACACTGCTCTTAAAACACTGCTTTTCTCCATCCAAGTGAGTTTTTATAGTTTGGATTTATGGCCCTTGCCAAGAGGCATATGGGATAAGGACTGAAGAGCTGGCTCACCCCAGGATACCTTTGTAACCTGTGAAGGACCATGTGCAATTCAGCCTGCCTAAAGAAATGAATGGGTGATGGATGGAGATGGAACCTCAGAATGACTGTTCTCCAAATGTAGACATCAACCTTATGCAGGCATCAACCTTAATACTTTGACAATTTTAACATGTTGCTGGATGAGTGATGGACTATAAGGACTTGTTTTTGCATATCCTGAGAATAATTTCGCCAGAGCATGATGAAACAGAAAATGCTTTCTTAGACATAGGAGGATTGGGACTTTTTTGTGCTGCTCTCTTGGCTCCATTTTGTGACATAAATTGGGTCCAAAGGGGAATTAAGCAAGGTTACATTAAACCCAATGATAGTGCCATACAAGAATGTCATTATTTAGCCATGAAGCACATGGAAATGCTCAGGAGAACAGCTTTTATTGTCATGAGGAGAAGAATGGCTAAGTTAAAGGGAGACTATTTAAGAGCTGAAGGAAATAGACACACAACCAACTTTAGGAACATGAGGGATAAACTTGCCGCTCTGCTGCCATCATGTAATAACTTTTTCTTCTCCCTGGCCAATTAATTTAACATGTTTTATTTCTTAAACTCCTATTTTCTGTGCTGTTTAAGTAATTAAACCTACAAATTGTGATATAAAGCCTGTAGCCCTCATCGCTTACATAAGTAATAAGTAGTTCTAGTGGGGATTGGCTGCTGGGCTCTGAGTCCCTGTTGGGGACCTGGGTACCATTGCAGCTTTCATCCCATCAGATTTCTCATACTATGAAAAGCCTTCCATTAATTAATTCTCTTAATCAGGGACTGCAGTGATAGGACAAGGGGTGATGGGTTCAAAGTGAAACAGGGGAAGTTCAGGTTGGAGATAAGGAAGAAGTTCTTTACTGTGAGGGTGCTGAAGCACTGGCACAGGGTGCCCAGAGGAGTGGGGAATGCTCCATCCCTGGCAGTGTTCAAGGTTAGGTTGGACAGAGCCTTGAGTGACATGGTCTAATGTGAGGCATCCTTGCACGTGGCAGGGGGTTGGAACTGGATGAGCTCAGGGTCCTTTCCAACCCAAACCATTCTATGTTTCTATGATTCTACTTTAGAGCTTTATAGTCATTCGTTTCCAATCCATTTCTCTGTGTATTACTTTGCTTACACACATGGATGAAGAATGCTTTTTTTCTTTTCTCCTTATTTTCCACCGGTAACGCACTGCAAAGAAAGTGCACAGTGGGAATTCCCTTGACTTCCCTTGAAGCTCCAAATACTGCTGGAGATATTTGAGGCGGGATGCCCAACTGAGCAAACTGATAGTATTCCAGGAGTCAAGATACTGGTGTAAGTGCATCAGTGTGATATAGGGCAGGAGGTTGATGTGAAATAGCACATGGCTGTTTTAGGGCTTCTTTCAAACTAACCTCAAAGGACTTAAATAAAAAGGCCTCTCTGGAATTCCTGGGTTTTGTAGGATAAGTGTTGGAACATTAGATCAGCCCTCCAGGGTGTCGATCTTATCTTAGGTTCCATGTGTAACAAACATAAGCTTTATAGACCTTTATCTGTAGAATGGGGATGATGATACCTGTTCTAAAAATGGTTTAAAATGTTTGGATGAAGAACTGAAGACTGGGATATCAGTCTGTGTATGGAAATACCACCATTAAATATTAAGGATGTTTATCCCATCCTTTATAACATTTACTTTTGTATCCTTAAGCAGTTGTCTGAAACTGCTTAAATGGCTGTAAAGTGAACATTTCTGCTTAGTAGCTTTAGAGTGGATTTGGTTTTGTTTGCTACTTGGTTTGTAAGGTGGTGCCCCACTTCCTCATTCTGCTATGTAAAACTTGGACACATGAGCAGCTGCACACCTGAAGTAGTTCCAGGAGGGTAGAATAGGATAGAATAACTCCAAGAGAGTTTCCATTGCCCAGCACTGTTTGGGTTTGGTCACTGCATTGGGGAGCAATGATTCCGCAGCATGTTGGACAGTTACATCAGTCTAGACTGGGGTATTCCTTGCGTTTAAAGCATAGATCTGTATTCTGCTGGGACAAGCTCCAGGCACAAAGACTTGTTCTGGAAAACACAGAGATAAGTTGATTTCTGACAATCAGGCACAAGGCAAGGCAGAAGGAATGTTGTTGTCCCTGATGGACCTCTCAATTTCAGTAAATCACCCGTTGCCGTCAAATGAGGTGATGAACTCCCTCATGGTCTTCATCAGGGACTGCAGTGATAGGACAAGGGGTGATGGGTTCAAACTGAAGCAGGGGGACTTTAGATTGGATATAAGGAAGAAGTTCTTTATGGTGAGAGTGCTGAGGCACTGGCAAAGGTTGCCCAAGGAAGCTGTGAATGCTTCATCCCTGTCGGTGTTCAAGGCCAGGTTGGACAGAGCCTTGGGTGACACGGTTTAGTGTGATGTGTCCCTGCCCATGTCAGGGGGTTGGAACTGGATGATCTTAAGGTCCTTTCCAACCCAAACCATTCTGTGATTCTATGGTTCTGTGGGCTGTCATCCAAATAAAGGAAATTTTATAGGAGTATAATTTGGGTTATCATCTGCTGAAGATAATCTGAGGCTGGATGCTGGTAAGTAGAAGCAGGATACGATGCTATAACCATTCTGTACTTTTGATGGCAGTAGGGTATTCACTTTTGTTTCACAATCCTTAAGAACTGGTATTGGAGTGGGACCCCCCTCATACAGTGATCAGGACAGCAGAATGTCCCACTATCTGTCTTTGGCACAGGAGGTGTTGAGTTCAGATATCAAGACCACACAGAAGTCATGACTTGGGTGCTGTCTTCAATATCCAATGCATCCTGTGCTCCTTTCCTAAAATAAAACCTTGCAGCATCCTGGCATCCCCAGTGAAGCTGAATTATTCAGAGTACTGTGTGTGCCCACCCTGTTTATTTGGTGTCTCCATCCAGGACTCTTTCCCATGGTCACAGTCTTCAACGTGATAGATCTCTACAGACCTGCTAACCAAGCTTCTGTTTTCCTTTAACAGCAAGAACAACTTCAGCTGGATAGGCTGAAGAACCAGCTGTCAGATGCCATCAAGAGATACGGAGCTGTGCAGAAGGTGAGGATGTCTCCACTGTTCTGTATTTGAGTTTGGGAACATGCTGAGTTAGAGCTACAGGCACAGCTACAAGTTGGGCAGAGAAGAGATTCAGAGCAGCCCTGTGGAGAAGGACCTGGGGGTAATGGTCGATGAGAAAATGAACATGAGCCGGCTTCAGTGTGCGCTTGCAGCCCAGAAAGCCAACTGTATCCTGGGCTGCATCAAAAGGAGCGTGACCAGCAGGTCGAAGGAGTTGATCCTGCCTCTCTGCTCTGCTCTCGTGAGACCTCACTTGGAGTATTGTGTGCAGTTCTGGTGTCCTCAACATCAGGACATGGAACTGTTGGAACAAGTCCAGAGGAGGCCACGAGGATGCTCAGGGGCTGGAGCACCTCCCCTATGGAGACAGGCTGAAAAAGTTGGGGCTGTTCAGCCTGGAGAAGAGAAGGCTGCATGGAGACCTCAGAGCAGCCTTCCAGTATCTGAAAGGGGGCCTATAGGGATGCTGGGGAGGGATTGTTCATTAGGGACTGTAGTGACAGGACAAGGGTGATGGGTTCAAACTGAAACAGGGGAAGTTTAGATTGGATATAAGGAAGAAGTTCTTTATGATGGTGGTCTTGAGGCACTGGAAGGGGTTGCCCAAGGAAGTTGTGAATGCTCCATCCCTCGTGGTGTTCAAGGCCAGGTTGGACAGAGCTGTGGGTGAGATGGTTTAGTGTGAGGTGTCCCTGCCCATGGCAGGGGGTTGGAACTGGATGATCCTATGGTCCTTTCCAACCCAAACTATTCTATGATTCGATGACTCTGAGTGTGAGCAAGTATGGTGAGCGTGGAGCATATCCAAAGTGGTGCTCGCATGTAGTTTCCTGTCTTTATTCTTAGTTTATCAGTCAAGCAGAATATTTGTTGCATTGGAATATGCACACACGGAGCAATTCAGCATCAATGGAAATGGAAAACTGTGCTTTTGGCAGCTCTGTGTCTGTTAGAATCTTCAGTGGTTCCCCTGGCTTAGCCATGACATTGTTTTGGTGCGTATCCATTTCCAAGAGTGTCGTGGTTTAAACCCTGTAGGCAAGTCAGCCACGCAGCCTACTCCCCTACGCCTTCTTATCCCCACTCCTGGAGGGATGGGAGGAAAATCAAAATAATGTAACTCCCACAGGTTGAGATAAGAGCAGTCCAGTAACTAAGGTATAACACAAATCACTGCTGCTACCACCAATGATAGTAATGATAAGGGAAATAACAAGGGAAGAGAATACAACCGCTCACCACCCACCGATAAATACCCAGCCCAACCGAGCAGTGAATCAGCCCTTCCAGGTAACTGCCCCCAGTTTATATACTAGGCATGGCATGCTGTGGTATGGAATACCTCTTTGGCTAGTTTGGGTCAGGTGTCCTGTCTCCTCTTCCTCCCAGCTTCCCCTCCTCCCTGGCAGAGCATGAGGCTCACAAAGGGCTTGGTCAGCGTAAACATTACTGACCAGCAACTAAAACCATCGGTGTTATCAGCGCTGTTCCCAGGCTGAAAGTCAAAACCGCAGCACTGCACCAGCTACTAAGAAGGAGAAAAATGACTGCTACTGGTGAACCTAGGACAGAAGGAGAAATGCTTGTACAGTGCCCCTTTCCCCTTCACTGCTCATAGAAAATGTGCAGGCAACATTGCTGTTCTAAGTGTTAACCCACCTTCTGACTCTGCTGTGTTCCACAGCTTTGCCAGAAGATTTCAGAAGGCAGCTTGTGGTTTGAACCTCTCACCAAGATCAAGCTGTTTAATAAAACAAAGAAAACCTGAATCCCAGCTCCTTCGTTTGCTTCTTGCTCTCCCTCTTTTCCCTCGGGAGCCTCTGCTGATGAGCAGATTTGCTTTGCTTTTAAACACTGTACTAGCGATTTCAATCTAGCATCCTCGAACTGCTTCTCCCCCTTGCAGGAACAAGTTATAGGTATATGGATTAATCAGATCACAAGCTGAACAAACTCTGGTTGCTTTCTTATACTGCTTTAGTGAGTTTGACCCATGGCTGCAACACATAGGAAAAACATTGTAATTATAATAGGTGTAATGAAATTAGGCTGGCAATGTGCACTTGACAATGCATCTCTATTAGAAATACTCTGTACTGATTGATTTCGTCAAACTTGCTGGCTATGGTTTAGAAATAAATAACTCAATAAAAGCACAGAAAATTGCACTTCAACAGCATGTACATTATGTAATAGCACTGCATTATCTCTGATACTATCTGGTATTGTTAATTATTACTCTGTCCTATTCAGAACGCTAAGAGTGAGGTCTTGAAATGAAATTACTTCATCCCTTAAATGAGGAGTTGGAAGGATTCAGGTAAAGGGCTCCACCTCCATATACACACACCTTTATGATGCTTTCATTTCATACTGAAGAGTGAAATCTATCTCGACTGCACATGGAGGTGATGGGGTTTCTTTCTAAACACTGTCATCAATTCACAAGTGCCAAAATTAGTCGCTGCAGTTTGTCAATGCCCGGTTACGTCAGGAAACCAATCTGAGTGGGAAATTAATACTTATCGCCATCCTAGCTGTCATTTCTTAAATGCAGGTTTCAGTTTGGATAACCTTGTCGTGCTTGAAGCTTTGGAGACTTTAAATTCCTGCAAGGCTAAACTTTTCAGTGCAGTTATGCTCCCTTTCTGAATAGGAAGAGTTTTCCCTATGTCCTGTCCTTTAAGAAGCAGAAGAGACAGCTTCGTATGATTTCAGGCTTAGAAAGTTGGGGCTGTTCAGCCTGGAGAAGAGAAGGCTGCGTGGAGACCTCAGAGCAGCTCCCAGTATCTGAGGGAGGGGTATAAAGATGCTGGGGAGGGACCCTTCATTCGGGACTGTAGTGACAGGACAAGGGGTAATGGGTTAAAACTTAAACAGGGGAAGTTTAGATTGGATATAAGGAGGAAATTCTTTACTGTAAGGGTGGTGAGGCACTGGAATGGGTTGCCCAGGGAGGTTGTGAATGCTCCATCCCTGGCAGTGTTCAAGGCCAGGTTGGACAGAGCCTTGGGTGATATGATCTAGTGTGAGGTGTCCCTGCCCATGGCAGGGGATTGCAACTGGATGATCTTAAGGTCCTTTCCAACCCTAACTATACTATGATTCTGTGATTTCTTCCCTAAATATTAGGACTCTTTTCTCAGACCTTTTCCTTTTTTTCTTTTTCCCCATTTTTACAGAAAATAGCAGAGAAATCCAAAGCTTTGCTTCCTACTGGGCCAAGAAGCACCAAACAGGTAAGTTCCTCTGCATCTCTGTGTTTGACAGTAAGTGCGTTGCTAAAACCAGGATGTTTTCTAACCCCACTAATGACGCTGAAGAACATGGAGCTCCGCCAGTACCTACACTGAAGCCAGTGAGGTGGTTTTCAAACAGTGCTTTTCCATCTTTGGAGGTGGAAGATACAGGACCTAGGAAAAAAAAAAAAGGCACATATAATCCCTGCATAATTATTCTCTGTTCTCTTGGGGCTGTTTTTCCATTCTTGATGGGAGTTTTGAATACTCTGAAATACATAAGAGCAGTCCTGTACCTCCTTGGCCTGGGATCTGGGCTCATAGGCCAAGTGAAATCATCCCCCAAGAGCAAGGAAGTTAGAAGGAAGTGAGAGGAAGTTTTACCAAGCCTCTGTTCTCAGTTTTTAAAGGGATCATCTATTCTATATAGATTTATATCATCTATTCTGTGTTGTTTGGCTATATTACATTTTGATTAACTATTAAATACATATAAAAGTAGATGTTTTTTTGTCTGTTTACCGATATTAGGACCTCTGTCAATGATTAAATACTATGTATAATCAGAGTGTATATGCTATAGTGTTGTGCATACAGGTTCATATGTACATGTGTGTGCATGTAGTATATATAAAATATAATCAAATGTATGTCTGCCTGTGTATGATTAAGAGTTTAAAGATATATCCATATATATGCATATGTGTGGAGTTACACAACTGGTAATGCAAAATACTATATATATTTGTGTGTATAAGAAATCCTCACAGATTTCTGTAACAGCTTTGATGCCATGAGATCACTTAGCTGCAGTATGAGTGGAACTCTGCCTAATTTCAGTGATGATTTCTCATATACTTGATATTCTTGTCTTTTAAGGGGCAGACAGCAGATTTTCTGCCTATCTAATCCGTTTTCATTCCCTACCTTGTGGTATCTGTCTTTCTCTTTCCTCCTTTATGTGCATATAAGAGATTGTTGTTCTTTGTAACAGTAATGTTTCTCTGTAAAGAAGGGTGGAATGATGCCACTGAAGACCCTTCCATTAGGGCATGTCAATGGACCAAAGCTTTATAATAGGTTTCAAGCAATTGCAATTCTGCATTAGACCTTCTTGCCATGTACTTGGTAGTGCCACTGAATGGAAGGCCTTTGTGTGCCAAAGGGCTAATGTATTCCTTTACCCTTATTTGGAGTTCCTACCAATATCTCTGGAGTGATTGTGCATAGATGTTGTTATCCAGCTTTGCAGGTATAGAAATGTTCCAGCTTAGTTTTTCCCCACCAGCTGGTGATCTGTATTGAACATGGGTATTTTGCATGGTTGCATATAACATGGTCTTGAATGGTGGTCAAATCCACTGGGCATCGGTTATTGGTAGCTCAGAGATAAGGGATTTATTTTGTGTAAATTCACTGTGATCTGGTTTTCTGCTGTCTGTATTACATCACTTCTTGTGCTTTTAACCAAGTTTGTTAGACTGCTATTGGTGGAGTAGATTGCAGAGATGAGAACATCTGTGGTCTTGCTTGGACCACATGGTTGCATGGCTGTGGCTGTTCCATATGATGTGCGATACTGATGGCCATTAATCAATGCAAATAGGATGCATAGCTGTTGTGCATCCCTGCACCTGGAGTAAGCCTGGATGCAATTAACTATTTTAGTGTGTTGAAAATGGTTGATGATTGCGAAAACAGCCTTCTCTGGAAGTGATCAGGGTTTTAAGACGGGGGGGAAACCAAGCTATTGGACAAAAATAGTTGAATCTTGGAGGCAAGTAATGGTGGACTTGGAAGTAAAGGGATGCTGGAGGAAGGATGGGACAGAGACAAACCCTTTTGCCTTAAAAAGGGTGAGAATCCAGGCATTAGGAGACTGTTGCAGTAGAAATTTAGTGCAGGTCAGGCAGCATCAGCATAAACTGTGTTAAATTGGCTCAGCTGCATGTTGTTTCTGCTTGTAGCAGCCACTTGCCAGTGAATGCTGGTGGTTGGCTTCAGTGCATTATGTAAAAGAAGGGGTTGTAGTACGCCTTGCTGAGATGCTTATGACTCAGAAATAGGCTTCATCACACCCAAGAGCACATGCTTTTCATGTAATGACACATGCTTGGGCTGGGAATGCATGACGTTTCATCCACACTGCTTGGAAAGGATGAAAGTTAATCCACATCTGTTTCAGCCTTCCTGTGCGTTTGCAGCTTCACACGTCTTCTTCCTTCAAGTATAAAAGGAGAGAATGTATAAAACCTGCTGAAGGGAATGCAGTGCTGTGATTGGTTTTCACTTAATATCTATCCAGCTGCAGATTGGTCAGGACATGCAAAATTATAGCTCCTCCAGGAACTCTAACCTGACCACTGTGTGCATGTGTTAAGGTGTTAACACGCTATATATTACATTTGCATTACCCTATGCAGTAATGTAAAATGCTACATATGTTCAGTGAACTTGATTTGTGGGTCTTGTGAGACTGCGTAGTGAACTTCTGGATGTGCAGACTGGATCTGCACTGTGCAGGGCTTTCTTTTATTTATATGTAATATATTTTATATAACATATATAATAATATATAGTAATATATCTATATAAATATATAGATATTCATTAATATACACTACAGCAAATGGTAAGAGGTTTGAAGAATGCCAGGTTTTTTATATGCATGTGCTTATAGTTCTGCTCTTCCATTAGTGGGTGGGGTATGTAAAATGTTTGGTAACACAAACACTAATAATTTCTCTTTAGGGAGTAATTGATTTCCTAGACCCACATAACAGGTAAAAATTGGGATGTGAAGCGTTGGGAAAATTATTCTCCTGCCCATTGTGGTTTGCTGTAAGTACTGTTTAATTGAGTTTATGTGTGTATCAAAGCAAAAGAAAGGCATTGATGCAGAATTCCTTGAAGCTTGAAGTTATATAAATTCTTAATCAAGTATGTGCTTGTAGGAATGTATTCGTGTCCAGACAAATCGATGTAGTTCAATAGGTGCAGCTATTGAAAGGCACAGATTTTTACTGCGCTAAATGATCGTTGTGGAACGTGAGTTGTGGCAACTATTAAAAAGAGGGGGAAAAAAGCCCTTTCTGTTGAATCTGTGGAAGTGGTTTTAACTTTTCACCCAGTGACCAAAATGAGACTTCAGAAGTCTCATTAAGGGAGTGCACAGGGGAATCCTGGAAAGCAGCTTTCCATTGATGAGAACTGCTATTGCAGCAATATGGTGGTGTGTTTGGTCATGTGTCGCCTCTGGTTCCTGCTTATGTATGGGGCAGATGTGCCTCAAATCCCACCTTCTCCCCCTGCACAGACACACCTTGGTGCAAACCAGTTATTCCTCCTTCCAGGCGGAGCCCACAGTAGGAGATGGGTGTTTTAGGTACATAGGAGTGATGCAGAGCCTGGGATAGTGTGGCTAAGGGGTGGAGAGGTTGGATATCTGCATAGACCTGTCTTGTTGGGCTAAGTCCATCTCACATAACGGTTGGGTATAATAAAATGTCATGTTTTAATAGCACAGATTACCCTTAATATTAAATAATAAAGGATAGCCTGCAGAAACCCCACAAAATAGCGATTAATCCCTCTGAGCAGAGGAGATGAAATGAATCCTTCTTTTCAATTATTTTTAATTATCATGCATCTAACATCATCTACTTCCTCTAGAAAGAATACGTTATTGTGCCCGTGACTGAAAAAGTTCAGTGGGTATTAAACCCAGCAGCAGAGTAGGCTGACAAGCTGGGTGCTCCTAAGGATCCATCCCTGCCAATGCCTAGCAGTGACAGCCCATTTTCTTTATCCTTATGGCATCTTCAACATGTCTTTGGGCCACCTCCATCTTTCCTAATCCTCACTCACACTTTAACAGGGGAAGTTCAGGTTGGAGATAAGGAAGAAGTTCTTTACTGTGAGGGTGGTGAGGCGCTGGAATGGGTTGCCCAAGGAAGTTGTGAATGCTCCATCCCTGGCAGTGTTCAAGGCCTGGTTGGATAGAGCCTTGGGTGCCATATTCTAGTGCGAGGTGTCCTTGCCCATGGCAGGGAGTTGGAACTGGGTGATCTCAAGGTCCTTTCCAACCCAAACCATTCTATGCATCTATGTTTTCGGCAAGTAATGAGGAGGAAAGTGGGCTTTCTCACCATGTAGACTTTGTGGGTGGTTCCCCAAAGGCAGTGGGAGAAGGGGAAGCACCGTTCTGATTGAGCTGAGGATTGAATTTTAAACTAAAACCACCCCAAATATCCAAACAGAGTTTTTTTAGTTTTTATTTTAGAGGAAACTTTCCTGGCAATTTTTAGAAATTAAAATTACAGTAATTGTTATGGGGTAATGGCCCCCCTCTTCATTTCCTGCTGCTCACGGGGAGAGGAAAGGATAATTACTGCTCTTGAACACGACGGTTGCCAAAAGAGATGCCTTTGTTTCTTATTCTGTCAGCCTACTTGACCCAGTTCTCAAAGGTCAGTAAATTATGCTTTTTAGGAGCACAAAAACGGGTAATAAACCTCTATTTGCATATACAAGCTTTTTTTCTTTCCCCTCTCCTAACTGCATCAATTTATTTGTGCTTTAAATGGACTTCCTTCTCACAGGAAGCATCATTTCTCTCTTTCTTCCTGTGTTTATGAAGTTGTTCTTTTTATGTGATTAGAGTAAAACTCTCATTTTGGGGCAGCGAGATCCAATCCTTCTCTTAATGGGAGGATAATTTTTTGGCAATAATATCTGCATAAACTGCATATATGTATGTGTGTGTGTGTGTGTGTGTGTAATGACTCTAGTTATTTGGGCTTCTATTTTTACAGGCTCCTTATCATGGTAGGTTCTCTATAAGCACAGCTATTAGATTGTGCCACCCTGAGGATCTCACAGGCTAAGCAAACACCAGCAGGCTATTATGAATGATCATTAACAATGAGGTTTTAATGCAGTGCTGGATGTCCACAGCTCAGTTTGAAACTGGCCTCAGTGTTGGCGTGTGTTGTTCTGAA